TTATATCGTGTTGATTCAATATTGTTGACACATTGGGCCTGGCATCTGCATCGTCATGTTTGGGGTGTGCCCCCCCCCCACACCCCTCTCCCAACCCTGCCGGTCCCTGCGCGTCACTGGGGCCAACTGGCCGCTTCACCCGGAGTTAGCATGCGCACCTGGACGGCGTCAGGGGTGGAGTTCCCATGGAAAAGGTCAGGACGTCAACACGTCAGTTTCTTCACCCAGCCCGGTGTTTTGGTCATGAATGTACCTACGTCATCCCTCGTACTTATTGAACGATGAGCACCCCTGTCCACCCCCAAATCAAAAACTCCGGCATACTCCGGCCATGTTTTTACATATTGGGGAGCCTCCGAAAACGGTTGCACACAAAAAAGTTGCCCAGGATGCTCAAAACTATGGAAGGGTCTTCCTTTTCCGTTTGCCAAACCTTTGCTCACAGTATTGGTCTTTTCGATAGTCTTCGCTTGTATTGTTTCTATCAGACCAACAAGCTAAAGAAATTGAACGGTGCATGTCGCTGTGCCATGCGGTTTGGCGAGGCCTTTGCGTGGCCTCCGTTGCAGAGGGGCACGTGTGAACTTGGTGATTCGGGGTGGTGGGTACCTAAAAAACACAATGGCCCTCCGCAACAAATGATGTTGGGGGCATTTGAGTACATATTATAGGAGAAGGTATATAATAAGCTCCATTTAGAAACAAAGGGGGATTTGAAATTACGGGTGTCCGACATGTTTCTATTTTTTTCAACTGGGTAATGTTACTGTTTCCTTTCGATCAGCATTATAGCCGGTCTTTGTACCCAATGCAAGAGAACAGCTCATGTCAAATACCTCGCATTGCAGCTTGCCTTTGATATATGTATTATATACCATTTAATTCCCGTCTTAATTTACGTGTCACTCCTGAACTGCACTCTACGCATCTTGTTTGGAGTCTTGTTGTCTACCTACCTCATGCAACTGGTTCCAACATGTTTGAGGTTCAACTGGTTCCAACACCCAAGACCAAGCCGACAAAATTGGAACGATAAAACTAAACTGATAAAACGGGTTACCACATCCATTCTATGGCTTTCCAAATCTTTCTAGTGTTTCTGACCTGGCCTTTTCATTGTCATCACTCACCCGCGGACTACTTGGCTTGGATTGCTTGCTTGCTTGCCTTCATTCTATGGCCTTTTGTTCGCGGTTCCTTGGTGTCTGGATGTCGGTTTTGGTGTCCACTGCCGATGTGTCTTCGATCTACGACCCAATATCATCTTGTCCTGATTCTTCCACCAAATGGGCTCCCGGACAGATAAGCGGCGCCCTAAGGGCAACGCGGAGGCCTGAGACATGAAGGAACATCGAGTATCCTTGTGTTGGTTGGGGACCTCTCATCCAGAACGAACATCTGCTAAATGACGTGAACCGGCTGCTTTTTAGGGGATTCAACTTGCTGCTAAACCTATATAGTTGTTGTGGCTAAACCTAGTAGTCTTAGAATGAACACGCCAACAAGTTTCAAAGGGGTGTGTTGAATCAGTGACCATCTATAAAGAGGTTTCCAACAACCCAAGACCCAAGTCTTAGACCATCTGAAGCAATCCCAAATGTTCAAAAATCTATGACATTTGGTCGTATTCGGCCGGGTGTAGAAGAACCCGAGAGTGACCATGCACAAGAAATGCAAACCAGTTTCCAAGACTCAACTCCACTGCCAAGCTGGAGTCCGGCTGTGTTTCATCGGTGGTTCGTGTGCAAACAAAAATTTAATTGACTTGACATGATTTGCAAACTTCACACAAACAACCTGGGCTGGTTTTGATGCACAATTCACGCCACATCACGCCACGTCCGAAATCCCATGAAGTCGCTGCACATCCTTCCAACCCTTGCGGAACAAAATCCGCCCACCCCCCAAAACATACTGCCCATCGACGACGCTGAGCTAGGACAGAAACAAGGGACCAACTAACTGAGCTTTCAATCCTCATGTCTTTATGAATCTGTATGTCTCCGTGCTCTGCCCACCAAAGCCTAGGCCTAGGACTAAGAAACTAGGCTCTTGGACGCACCAAAGGGGCTATGGGTCAAAACCTGGAGCCCCAAGCCCTGGCAAGTTGACCATGTCTGTAGTCTACAGTAGTCTATTCCGTTCATTTTTGGTGATAAAAAACAGGTGTTCCGGTGCCATGACCCACAGCCATGGACATGCAGGAAACATGCCCGAAGAGGCCGCGCCTGCTTGGGTACTCCTTTGCCACCTGGAGGCGGGGGGCCCTTTCCTGCTCGTGTGGACGCAGCTGAGAAGCGGAGTCTTTTGTCGCGTGGACGGAGGACCCGGGTCTCGCTATCGGCTTGGATTTCGCATGAGTTCGGATTTTGCTGCAATTCTTTCACCCAGATGTCACCCCTTTTCCCCTCAAGCTCCTTTGCCTTTCGCTGCTGGCGGGCCCTTCGGCCCCTTACCAGCTTCCTTGCCGCCTTTGCCCTTGGGCACGGCGGCACCGCGGCCATCGCCCTTGGGTCCAGGACCTTTCGGGCCCTTGCCACCCTTCTTCGGGGCGGCTGGAGATGGCGCAGACGGGGCAGACTTCGCCTGCGGATCGATGGAGAGGTGGCAGAAAGTGACCCAAGGACTTGTCTAAATGAGTTTCACACTTTATTTTTTGCTTCCTAATTTAGGTCCACCTGAATGATCCCCTTCGCTCTCTGCAGCGTTCCAGGATGTTGCCAAATGAACGACATCTGGGATTTAGGCATCCTGGCTGATATCTCGAAGGTTCAATACAATCTACTTAGTTACTTACCTCCAGCATCCTCCAGCAGTATGACAGTATGACATGAAGATCCTCCAAAGACTTCCTCACGGTTCCTGCACACATCTACGCTGCATGTCTCATGTCTTAGAGTCTTAGACATGCCTTGCAGCTTGCACAAATTTGATGATATGAGTACATCTCCCAACTCCCACCAGTGACGGTGTGGCACGAAAAAATCTATCCTCCAACTCCCAACCCTGGTGCTTAGCAAAAAAATGCGTTTGGTTCTCGTTACATGTTTTCTACACCCTCCAGAACTGCGGAGCCAGCTCCACCCGACCTGCGGCTCAAGTTCCGCTTGGATCCACTCCTGGCCGGGCCATGAACCACGGGTGTTGCCACCAGTGGGTCCGTTTTGGGCTGGAAGACCGGGGAGTTGACTCCTTGGTGAGAGGAACTCAGCTTTGTTGCGATGTGCGGCGAGTGTGAACGGAACTCCCCCTGGACCATCCAATGGGTGTCCTGGCTGGACTACCCTACACTATTTAGGATCTCCAGCCAGGACACCCTTTCAATGGTCCAGGAATGAAATTAAACTATATGTTCAATTTACAAATTCACAGTGTATGAGAGCCCTTGACATGGCTACCCCAGGCCGGTCTTAGATTATCACAATTCCAGCCCGCATCTTTCTGCACTTCCACCCTCTATTGGTTCCATTCAACATCCCTGCAAGGATTTGGCATAGTTACATTCAAAGAAGCCCAAAGGTTGACCAAGCTACATTCTCCCACAAACATGCATGGACAATATTATGGCTGGTAGAAGCACCAAGAAGCTTTGTTGCTTTTCAGAGTGTCCTTTTGAAGGAGTGAGTCCCGACTGAATCTAATCTAGTCGTACATATAATAGATATTATATACACCCTGAATTTGGTACATTCCATGTTTCTTTTGAATCTAACCTTGCCAGGATATCTTTTGCATCTATCATGCCGCGGATTTTCCAAGCAGCACCCACCCACCCACACATACACACCCTGTGCTTCCCGCTCTGCCGCTCTGCCCACCTCGTCACTGCCCTCCATCACTGAGGTCTGCATGGGACGGCAGGATTGTGGGCCAGGTCTGCGCTTGGAGTCTTGTAATGAGTGTTGAGGGAGTCTGGTAGCCATAAGTCTCATGGGTGGCCAGATGCTGAATGTCTTGCATTGAGTTACAAATCCCCAAGCCGAACCTTTGGTAGAATCAGTGGCGTTTGATGTTTCTTGGAACGGTGTCAAACACATAGAGGCTTTTTAGGTGGGAGTATGTACGTATGGACTATTCGCACCCTCAAACATTGCAGATGTTGAGATGGCGCGCCACATTCATGTCTATTCGAGTCCTTTTGTTATGATTCCCTTGATAACATGTGCCGTTTTTGAAACGGCGTCTGTCAGCTTTGGGCTCAAGTGCTGGGCAGAAATGACGTGCTTCCTGCGACCTATGAATGACTTCCTCAGTCGAGCCCAAGGTTTTGAACAGTGGCAGTGGGAGCCTGGGTTGGGTCTCACAAGAATTCAGTGGAAACTACACCACCAATCTCAACATGGAACACTGCAGGATATATTATAAACGTCACATCGTTCCTACATGCAAATTGAGTTGCAAGCATAGATCCAAACAAATCCTATGACTTTTCTGGGAATAGCATCGCTGAAACAACTGGATTCAACCCAGCATGAGTGTTGGCCCAAACCAAAGACCTACACGACTAGACCGCACAGACCCAAAGTAGTCAAAGGAACAAATCAAAACGTGTTCATTGTTGGGTCTGAGAGTTTCTGCACTACAAATACAAACATAAAGAACATCTATATTAAAAAAAAAAAAAACGAATTCTGATAGAACATTTAAAAATCATTGGCTTTCTCTTCTGGAACACTATGCAATAGTCATAGTGCATTGTCTGTTGAAAACAAAAACTAGACTAGACCAGACATGTCTTCCCACCATTGAAGACTTTGGGAGCAAAACCAACATCGGCCATGAAACATGTTGACACCAATTCCACTCCATTCTTGGCTCTACAAGTAGGTTCTATGCGCGACTGTTGGCGGTGCATCCGTTCTGTCCGGACACTTTTCTCTGCCTCGCCCTCGCCTGTGCTTTGCGACGGAGGCTCACATTCGCGAGCCCGTGGGAGACGGCGCCAAAGCAACGACTTGGTGGTTGGAGCAATGAATCACAAAACATATCCTTAAAGCTCTGCCAAGTCTCTTCTTATCGATAGCAGCATTAGTTTCTTTGTTGCATCCAGAGATTTTTAGATGGAAAGCGTTCTGAAACAAATTGCTAAATTCTTTCTGGACAGGATGTCCTTGGGACAAAAAGAACCCCCTCACCCACTCTTCACCTAAACCTCCTCATCTTGCCTCACCCAGAGCGACCTCACCAGCGTGCGCATCGCTGGTTCCGTCGCCCTGGGCACTCACAAAGCTGGCGCATTCCTCGGCGTCGCTCACGGTGGCATCGCTGGAGGCGGAAGCGCTTCCGCCGCACGACGCGTCGTGCTCCGCGAGGGCGGCGGCCTGGCGTGGAGGACCCTGGGCGGGCGGTGAAAAAGGAAACAAGTTCTACTGCTGGGGATCCAAGGAGACACAATGATTGTTCAACTGTGGGAGGTGTGGTTTTAAATGTGAAGTCTTAATTGTCATCTGACAATCCTGGATCGGGCATGGACAATAATGTTCAATACAAACAAATGCATCAATAAAGTCTGCATGGGATCGATCAATCTGTTGAGCTATTGGATTCTGTTGATGCTTTGCAATTTCTATCTTGTTGAGACCTGATCAAGGGATTCAACATTAGTAAACATATCAACCTACCAGCTTACCAGCAACAAGTTCCATCCACTTGCCACAGCACCTCTACCACATTCCATGCCCCATAAAACTACTTGGCACTTGAATCTAATTGAAATCATGATGCCTTCCACCTCATCGACACCCAAGTGCTTTGAGCCCTGCAACTGAAGCAGAATCGAACACTACAATCCAGAGCAGCTAAACATTTCCACCGCTGGGTGTCGATGTGTTAACTCCATGTTTCAGGTTTGGATGGTCACCCCCATTCCCTATTTTGGTCAAGGAATCTAATTTTAGTGGACCTAGTCATACCGACACATGGTTCACTATTCACTGAGACATTGAGGGACCAGGATTTCACATGAGTGTTTGCACTTGGGAGTGCTTTAAACGGCCACACTTCACACGATGACTTCACTGACCCCGCCGGGGTCCGCGCCCCATCGCCCCCCCCTCCCCAGCCTCCGGCTTGGCTTCGGCGTCCGCCCGCACAGCGTGCCCCAGTGGCTTGCGGGGACCTAGTGTTGCGTGGGGCAACTGGGCAAATGACGTGGAAGGATGGCTGAAGAAGGAGGGACACCCACCTGAAACCCAGTTCCCAGGCTAGTTGGGCAACCATGGAGTGGCAGGCCGTAAAGCAGGTTGCCCAACCTCCAGAAGCAATGCAAGGATATGATGTCCCTGCGGTTTGCACTTGACTTTGGAAGAACCCTGACTATATCCCTGTCCATGATTTCCCACTACACTCTGACTGACTAACATGGAAGTTGAGCAAACTGAGTTTGTGCAAGAAAACCTTCATCCGAGGGCAGGGGCCATGTCCACTTCAATGTTCCTGAGTAATTACTGTACACTCCCTGAAATGGACGTGGAGTTCACCGCCGCTTGTAGAGGATTTCATGGTCCTCCATTCGGGGCCATGCCAGCCATGCAACCATGATTGCAGTATCTCAAGGAATCTGAAGCCTGTAATCAATTGAAGCCAACGACCACACTCAGATCTACGAATATGCTCAGGTCCGCGCTTGCACAAGGACGTCCGGCACGGTGTTGCTCCACTTCTGCCCAAGCCACGCCTCAAATCGACCAATTCAAGAGCCTCACATTACCTGGACCAAACAAGCACGACAAAGAGACGGTTTGGTTGCAGCAGTTGGTTGTTTTGTGAGTTTGACTCTTTAAGTTTCTGGTGAAGCACGTGATGGACATGCCTTGTGAAGTTTTTGACTCACAGTCATTATAGATCTTGCCCTCATCCAAGTTGCAAATTCCCTCGCGGGAGACGCGCAACCAAGTCTATTGCACCCATTCTGGCAAAATACGCGACCTAATGATACCTCGTGCGCATTGTTCAAAAGACGGTGAAACAAAGACAAGGAACCCCAAGGATTACGATCCCTCTCTTGAGAAACCATCGACACCGAAACCGCAACATCACGGACGTCCCAGGCAAAATGCTGGAAGACCTATGCAGGCACCTACCATGTGCAAAAGAGATACTAACTTAATTAGTGAAACTCAACATATGATGAAATCATACCTGAACCTTTGGAACACATGTGCAAAAGCCGACCCCCCGGGTCCCAGGTTCATTGCCAACCAAGTTAACATGATGGTCCATAGATGTCCACTAGATCCAACAAGGCCCCCCCCGTCTCGGCGGGTCCGCCCAGGACGCGCTGAGCTACGAAGCTGCTGCTGAAACGTGCTCAAGGCCTGGACGAGGCGTACCACAAAGGCAGGTATCTGAACACAGACACGAGGCGCTACCGAAACAGGTGACAGCCCCCCTAGAACCAACTTCTGGCTCAACATGCTCACATGACTCACATGCCAAAGTTTATGTATAAACCAAACTTTGGCATGGAGCCTTCCTGACCCTCGCACTCAGATCCATACAGATCAGCACGAAACTGAAAGATCGGACGGGCAAGAGCGCAGAACCCCATTTCTGCGAAGCCCATGTGGGGGAGCCCAGTCGGGTCGGTTTCCCTTGCTCTGAAGCCCGTGTCAAACCGTCCAGACTGAACTTGACCACCCATCCACTTGCTCCACAAGGACAAACAAATGCCACAGCACACGAACAGTCAGAGTCAAAGTCAAAAAACACACAATCTAAGTCTGTTGTACCACAATTTGGGGACTGTAACTATACAATGACTACATATATATATATAACTATACAACGCTCTGTTAGAAACACAAACTGCCAAAAAAGGTTCACAACTAAGTAAAAATCAAACCTGCTGGTTGGAACCCACCCGAACCCACAGGAGCGCACCTTCAACCTTGGAAAGATCTGCAAGTGTGCGGGGAAGTCCCTGTAGCTCCATCATTCGCTTTTTGCAAAGGGGAAAAAAGGGGAGAGGGACAAACCTCCTTGGTTCCATGTTCCCTTCAAGCCACCAAAGAGTTGACTTGTTGAGCAGCTCGGGGCTCAACCATCCTAGCCTGTAGGCCGGCCCATCTGCTGAACCCTCTGCCTGTAGGAGCTGCTGTGAGGCGTCGTGCAGCGTCTCCGGCTGCGCATTGAGACCAAAGGACCGCAGTAAGGCACGGCCATCGGCCTCCGCAGCTCGGGTCAACGTGAAGATCCTGGGGCCGATCTTCTGCGAATGATCTGGGCAAGTGCAATTGGCATGTGACTACAGCATGTCATGAGAGGAAATCACAGTTTCAACGGTGTTCTCCAACCAACGGCTTGAACACAAGAACGGTATTGACACCGCAAGCGCATCAAACAACTGGAATATGACAATAGAAGCATCGAGTTCCTCAAAGCCACAACTATTATAAGTATACACACTCATAGCCAAACCATGATTATTAATAGTTACAATCATAATCAGCCACACATGCTTCATTGCACAATATGAACTTTAACACATCTTAGAACATACCTCACTGAATATATTGGGGCATTTAATTTGGACGCTTCAAACATTTTTGACCAAACATTTTTGACCATCAGCGTCACTCGGGCAAAACCTGGTACGTCCCTCGTGGTAGCTGGTGCCGGATCTCTGGCAATCTCCCCATCTCCAGGTTTCACGTATGCCACAACTTCCCAAACTTCCAGTTCTGATCCCAAGCCATCCCAACATGACACCCCCATCAGTGACACAATCTTTGACCAACCACATTCTCCAACATCTTCCAACATCTACCTCGGGTCCACACCTCTGTCCCATCCACTGTCCTCCCCAAACATCCCAAAATCAACGGACGTCCGAAACCGCTCTTCCTCGCCCCGCGCCGCCCGGTCGCGCCCGCCATGCGCCCGCCTCGGTGGCCAACAAGGTCCGCGACCAGGTCTCGACCACGCCCTGCAACTCCACCTGGAACGGAGGTCCCGTCGTGGGAGCGTCCCATCTGCCGGGGAGGATGGTCCAGAGTGTGATAGGTCCAGGGTGGTCCAGGATACTCCAGGCTTCAAGAAAACCAGCCCAACAAGTCCAGCCAGAAACTCCTCTCTTTGTGATTGCTTTTGGAATAGAGGCCCCAGCTGAGGCAACCAATCTCTGGCAAGTCTGACAGCTGCCATTGGCCCATGTGTAAGGTGTGTGTGTGTGTAAGGGGGGTCAAACATCTGCGTCCAGAATATCATGGCAAAACTAACCAACCGATGTCAAACATCTCCCCGTCCCAACACCTGTACCCTCCAAGTCAATGCCCTCGTTAAACATCGTTAAACATGTTCTTTTCGACAGGTACTCGTTGAACTTGCACTTCGTACCTGCAGGGATAGTCTCCTTTAATTGCCAATGTCGACGCCAAGATTTTCTTCACATCTCCGTACCGTCGGGCGCAAACAAGCATCGCCTCTCAATGGTACAAAGTATCGGAAGCGGAGGCCTCCAGTTGGTGTAGCTGCGACAAAGCATCGGGCACCTGCTCGGGCTTGGTCAAATCACCTGCGCCGTGCAAAACTGTGGTGCGACGACTGGGTGCCATCCGGAGGTGCCGATAGGTCCCCAACCCATGGAGCGTTCTGGGAATTGTGTTGTGTCCCTGGTTCTTCAAGGTAACCTTTTGATATCTCTTGGTTTGAGATGGTTTGAGGATGTTTGAGGTCACAAAAGGGCTCCAAAAGGGTCTTGAACTGCAGAAGCTGCTCGGGAGAAGAAGTTTTGTCCCGGACCTTTCCGGTGGGTTGGGCCCGTCTGCCACCCAAGCGATTCGGTTGAGCGTCCAGGAGAGTCAATCCAACACCGGTGAGGCCACAAACGGCTCGCCCATCCGCAGACGGTCCAGTCTCGGTGGCAATGCCAAATGACCCCAAAATCATCTTATCTATACTGTACTGCATCCCAGCACCCAAATGCTGGTATAGCTTACATGCGATGCAAAACAACATGGAAGGTGATCTCCACCTGGGATATGTTCAACGCCACAGGAACCTTTGTTCTGGCTGAGGTCAACAGAGGGAGAAAGGAGAGCATCAGTTGTGAGTTGTGAGCGACACATGTTCCACAACGACTACAATACTTGTAAAGGACAGTACGAGTAGTTAGGGACATTTAGGGACTAATGTCATTTTCTGGTACAAGTTAGGACGATGCTGGTGGCGGTTTTTCCAAACACCACTGCATCGATCTCGGATCGTTGACACCGCACCTAGGGCGCAAAAGCTGCTGGTGGCCACCAAAGCCGCCCTTGGAGGCACCTCTGGAGCGAAGCCCGTTGGCGACGTGGTGTTTTTGTTAGGGACTAAGACGGTATACTCGGTGCTTTTTCGGATGTACACGGTATACTCCCAAAACACTCCCGTCACCAGTCCTGATGTTCATGCCCTTGAAAAAACTTTGGAGCGCACCAACCCTGCCTAAAGCAGCAGTTTTGGGATCAGGATGCCTAAGCAGCTTGTGGTAACCCTATAGTTGAGGATCAATGAAGGCCATGCCCTGTTCACGAGTTCTGAAACTCTTCGTAGGTTTTCATCCAAAAGTCATTATATCATACCCCATCGCTCACTCTCCTTCAGCTCGAATTGCTCCTGTTTGAACCATTTCCCATCCTTACATGGACCAATGACATCCATGAGCCTCTTAAAGCCACTACACTCCCTGAAATAGTCATGGAAGTCCGCATTCAAAAAAATGGCCGTATCATCCACTTCCATGACAATTCCAGGCAGTGCAAGGGAAAAACAGTTAACACACAATGTAACGCCTATGACACACCCCAACCCCTTCCGTCCGCCCAGGAAACGCTTGGTCTCCAATGCGCTGCTGGGCCGGGCCTCATCATCGGAGTTGGCGCGTTCCACGGACTTCTCCCGCGGGGTGTCGGGCTCCCCTGAGGCAGTTTCTCGAGAACGTCATGGCGCAGAGCCAGCAAAATGAGGTGAGGCGGACCTCTCGGGGGGCATCTTGACGGTTCGGCTTTCTGGACCCGCAAATCGATGGGATTTGGGGAGAAATCCAGCATCCAATCATCACCGCAAGGCTATAGGAACCACCTGATTTCTCCAGATTGAGGGGTTCAGGTGAGTCCGGCTCTGGAACCACCCGACCCTGATCGTCAGGGCATGTAGATGGTCTTACTCTTCAGCTTGATTCTGTTCGCATAGATGGTGCCACATTTGGGGTGGTTTAGGTATAAGCCTGTAGTAATTACCTGCAAAGGTCATATTAAATATATCACAGGTAATACTATTTACCTAAACAAGGTCTTATTATGTTTAGGTATAAGATGTTTACTGACTGACAAGAAGCCTTTCGGATAGTTACCCACATGCGTCAGTCCCAAATTTGCCTCATGCAGAAATCAAACCTACCACCCCTAACCATTGAGCTGTCTTGGTGATCAAGTTCCATCTTTAGCACATCACACCTCCATACCAATACCAGCCATCTCCCATCCCCGTCGCCTTCGACGGCACCCACCGAGAGCATCAACCGCTTCCGCAGCTGTTCCGGCCGGTGCCCACTGGGAGTGCTGGGTAAACTGGGCCCCGCTTCAACCACCTGCCAGGATTCAGACGGTTCTCCGGGACACCAAAGGGGTGGATGTGGGAAACTGGGACATTCCGGCAAATGGTGCAACAAATACTAGGCCTTTCGTGTCAAGATGGTTGTCGCGGTGCCAGTGACCTCTAACTTGGTCGGCAGGTTGGAGATCTTCAGAGCTTGTGAGATGAACCCCTAATTACAAACCATGAGAACAACCGGTGGAGATTGGACTCTAAGCACATCATCCCTAGAATAGTGTTCTCAAGTGGGCAAGAAGTTTGTCTAACTTATACTCAATCCCTCATGAGCTTTAGTGTAACACCCCGTCTTTCGCATGAGCAGAAAACCGTCTCTTCCACAGTGTACCGCTCCAAGTCACTGAAAAGGACAGGTTCTTGGCGGTGCTTGGCTTGCTCGGCGACCTGTGAATCTGAATGTGGAGTTCTGATGATGGATAGGTGGTGGATTGTGACCATGAGGACCATGTGGTGGATATCCTGAGCTGACTGTTTAATCTGTGGTGGATTGTGACCATGATTCTTCAGCTCCGGATACGGGCCAGATGTTTGTGAAACATTGAGCTCATTGAGAAACGATGAGTTGAAAGTGATAATGCGTTGTATTCGACTCTGGTCGAGTGAATGGGAGCCCCATAACAATGCGACTTCAGAAGAGGCCGTTCGTATGAGGTGAGACTACGGATGGTTGACGATACAGACTATACAGACTACTTCCTTAGGTCGTTGGGTTTAGCGCTTCCACCTCTTTTAGGAATCATTTAGGATACAGTGGAGACGGTCAGATACCACCTTCTGAGAAAGAAAGCAACATACCGTTTCTTTGAAGCTGGGACTGTGGGACTCATGAGGGCGCGGGTCATCTGTTCCACGCCCGCACAGCATGGTGCGAACGCTGCATCACGGCGAGAGAGTGTCGCTACCCCCCTGCTACGAATGAGTCAACGGATGAGTTAGGTATTGATCAGGTCAGGAACGGACCTCATTGGGACCTGGAGTTGATCAATACAGAAACATGACTGTATATACTCAATGAGTTGGGTTTTCACCAGGGACCAGGACCGATGTCGGTCAGACTGGACCTGTCCACGGCTCAGGTCCGGGCTGCTCGGCAAATAAGTCGAAGAGCTCCGCCTCCCTCAGTGGTGCAGCGGTGCCCGTCATCGCGCCAGTCATCCTGCGTGGCCTCGGGGATGGCAAACTACTTTTGATGCTACTTTTGATGAGGATCTGAATGCTATAGGTGGTCTAAACCTAGCTGCTAGCTGCTACTTTGGGCTGTAAAGCTTTGAGGTTGAAGTGGCGCGACCATTACATCAGAGCCCGCTGTGACACTTCCCGGGTTGCAAAACAAACGCCTTGGTCTTGTTGGTTGGGCTGGCATCCAGGAAGTCATAAAAGTTGGGATCAGCTCGGAAAGATCCTGAGTGGCCAAATTGACTACAAAGTGCGGAGTGACATACCTATTGGTTACAGGATAGTACAAGCATGTAACGGGTGTATTGGTGCAGGACTGGGGTTCCATGTTTCAAAGGGTTTTGGAGCTTGGGAATGAACAAGGAAAAGAATTGCGTGGTTCTTTGTAATCGCTCAAAGTCACTGTTGCACTTCTTGAAGGTCTTGTGTTCGGCCAACTGAACTCCGTTGATGTTCAAGAACCTGGGGGGAATCCCAGTTTGAACCTTGAACCTTCACCTCCCAAGCCCCGGACGATTGCACCGGACCATTGCCCCGCTTCTCCGCCTACGCTTCTCCGCTCCGCTTCTCCGCTCCACCGACCGGTCCGACCTGACCGGGTCGTTGGACTCGCTGAGGAAGTCGGTGAGAATCGGCGGTTGCAAGCACTTCCGCAGCTCCTCCGGACGTCGTTGCTGCTCCGGACGCCATGTGGAGATGCCGGAACGCTTCTGAAGAGCGCGGTAAAAGAGCGGTTGAAGAACCGTTGGGGACCATGAAGTGGAGTCGCTTCGAAGGCATCGCAATGGGGAGAGAAAATGAAGAGTGCTGTACAAAGAAGGGTAACTGGAGCCCAAACCAAATAGATCAATATAATAATACTCAATAATGATGATATAATATAGATCATGTCTGTCCATCACAAAGCCACAATCTTCAGCTTCACCACTGCTGCACGAGGAACGCCGCCCAACGCCCAAGTCGCGCCACGTGACGGCCGCCTCGAGCCAGCGATGTAGATGTTGTACTGAGTCGCAAGAGAACTGCAAACGCTGCTCATCCTGAGGCATGGGAATGATGACCGGAACAAAGGCACGCCATGTGGATTCTTGGACCTTGCCCCACGATTTGGCTTGAGCAAACCCCTCTTTCAACAGCCAGTTGGCAAACCACCTGAGATCTATATACTGACAACAATCTATCCCGCCCCTACAGAAAAGGACCTACTATCTATGCATTGACCCCGGGAAATCAACCACCAAATGTATGCAAAAGCTGGCAGTCCCAGACAGGTCGTGTCTGGGTTACACAATGCAGGTCTCCGGATTTCCGAAGAAGCTCCACATCGAGGGAAGGAGGACCCACTCAGGCCGACCGGCCGGGTGTGAGGGGGCACCTGGCCGCGGTGGCTACGCCTGACCTGTGGCTGGTGGTGGTCCGTGTGAACACGTCACGGCGTTGGGGTATGATGGGTGCATCAAACGGCTCCATGGCCATTCTGAGCACACAGACCAATTCCAGGGCTTTTGACACCATCCGGATTTGCTCATGTTTTTGACAACATTCAGATTCGTTCGCATATTGCTCGAGCCAGGCAAGAAACAAACTAAGCTTGCTTGAGATATTCAAAATTGATACCTTTGGCCTTGTTTGGCTGGCTCTGCTTTAAGTTTTTGGCGCTAGTGCCCCTGCACCCGTGTAACATAGAGGTTTAATTGTTCCAACCCACGTACAGCTCGAGAGGGCCCATCGGCACACGAATAAAGCGGCTACTCAGCTACTCTCCACAGAAGGAATACATCCAGTGTCAACGGGCCGAGCGGCCGACAGCTCGATTTCAAAGCCGCTGGGCGCCACGGACAAGAGTCCTGCGACAAAAGGCGCGCTGGACCGCGACGGTGGCAAGGAGGAGTTGGGGCAGGATCAACCTTGACATTGGTTAGGTCAATGAAGGATTTTTTATGATATGGTTTATTTATGGTTGGAACTCTTTTAGATATGGATGCGCACCATGCCTGCATCGCCATGTGGTGCCCAGAATCGCCTGACTCCTGACATCTCCTGACTGATCATGATGCTCAATATTGCCACTGGTTGGTGGTTTCAACTCATTTGAACAATATGAGTCAGTGGGTTCAATTATTGGCAAGCACTCTCGCGCTCATGTCCAGTCCAAAGGGACAAAAGCATAGTATGTTGTGCCATGTTACGTCATGATATTTGTTTGTTCGTGCATCACCTCCCTCAGGCACCCCACTGTGTGGTGATGGATTCCTTTTTGGGGGGCAAACGCAGGATCGATGTCACTTGGTGTTATTTGGGAGCAAAAAGTAATAATGTCAGGCCTGCAGTTCCAAATGGTCCAGAATCTGATCCACGCGGTTTTCAGGGCAGGACGACTAGCCCCCCGGGTCTCTGAACATGAAGCGCAAAATTACTTGGCAAAAACACTCAGGAAGGCTGGGATCCTACCCCTCCCTCATACTCACATGTCCCAGCAAGTCTAAAGGACAAGTTAAACGTAGTCGTTGATAGAAGGGACGTGATTTACTTAATGGCCATGGTTTACTGATATCCACTAGATCCCCTGCCAGCCCCCAACGAGACGCTGCAGCAATCACACAAGCAGCTGCAGCCGCCATCGAGTTCACGCTCTTTGAGGCGCGGTCTTTTCCCACGTGCGTTTCGCGTGAGCGTTGAGCTTTCGCAGATGCTGCTTCATTGCCAGCAACCTGCACAGGAATTTCACACACATGTGTGATATCCATGCGCACCTGCATGCACATTGAAACTAAGCATGTGCGTGTTAACCCGAAGCCGCCTGAAGTGCGACGCTCTAAGCACAGATCTGCCAAGGTTTGTACGGCTAGCTCTTTGGCATACACCTTTGTGGCGCTGCCAAGATCGTACTCACGGCTAGCATGATAATTTGGAAACTGCTTTAGTGGAATACATTGCCATGAGTAGCCAACCGAGTTGCACTTGGCCCATTTCATTTGGTCCTCCTCTAAGAAGCAGTGCACATGCCGCCAGTTGAAGCCTAGCATGTTTGAGCTCACACGCGCACATGCCTAGATGCATGCACATATGACATATGAAACTAAAAACGGCAAGTGACGGTAAGCTTGGCAGTCACGAAGCTGGTGATGGAATGCCTCAAAATATAAGCGGAAGATTCAATCACGAGTGGGACTTTGCCATCATGAAATTAAATATGTAGCGCTTAGTGTCGACAGTCGCACTCTAATTATATAATTAATTGCGACCAGATTCATGGAGCTTTGGAAGGCAATTCCAGAAAAGAATTCCATGCCTTGCACATGCACTTGTGCACCGAAGATGCTCAATACGGCTTAATAGATAGCGCGTATAGCCAGCTATAGCGACAAAAACAAACAACAAACTCCAGATTTAAAGTTGAACTAGCGGGCGGTGATTCAGATCAGCTTGGGAACCTTTGGGATATCATAGTGAGCACCTTGTGAGCCCTGAGGTATTGCATGCCACTTTCGTATATCTCGTTTGCACGCTCCTGAGTCCTGAGTTATTGGGCCCACGAATAAACAATGCAGAGTCTTGCAACATACAAACATAGTGACTGCATGCATGCAAATCTTGGTCGGCATGCGTTGCACCCACACCATCATGGGGGCAAGTGGCAAAATCATGGGAGAATCCTCGATCAACCAGAAGTTCTTTGCCATAGCATTCCTTATTTCTCTACAATATTGTCGAACAAGGCATGGACTCCTACATGTCACAACCAAACACACGACCCGATTGCAAAGATTGAAAAGATTTGCCAGCAATTCCAGAGGGAATCATTGCAACAGCTGTTGGTACCAAGAGATCATGATCTGGCCAGTCTTGACCAGTCTCATGCAGCCACCGGGCAAACAGGCGGCCATCTTCAACGTCTCGCCGAACAGCTAAGTCGAGGCAGGAAGCTAGCCAAGCCACAAGAACTCTGGAGTTGTAGGCTTTCGATGTGAGATGTGCCCCCAAAGAAGTGGACTTCCATACCTAATCATCATTTTCATCACGCAATATAGGTGGGACCACATATACATCTTTAAATTTGGAGCAATTTCACACCAGATACTTGATCATACCAGGTCACTTGGGAGACCGTAAATAAAGGTTGTGAACAGAAGACGCGATTGAGCTTGCACCAAGATCTAAAGTCCTTGTAGGCCACCAGCAACAGATCTGGAAGTGATGTGGCTGCACAATCTCCAAAGAAACCCAGCTGCGTGAGCAAAAGCCTCGGGTTGAATTTTCTGAGCCACCCAGAACTAGTTCTTTATGCCACAACATCTGAAACAACAAGCAGGTTCTTTTGCTTCAGAGTAAGTAGGCTGGAGATTGGACTACTACGATCGAATCAATGTTCCTCAACCCACTCTTCAACTCAGAGACAGAGACGACCCAGTGGCCACTTGGGCTATTCCCAAGTTCACATTGTGCATTGAGCAGTGCCTGATCATGGTGTAGTGGAAGTGAGGGAGGAGAATCAAAGGACCTCAGTGGAGAGCATGGTAAATGTTCACCAGGTGCGCAAGGTTGCAAAGCTCATGAGATTGGTGTAGCTTCTAGGCGCAGGCACCTGTACATTTGTTTGTTTCATGATTAATATGCATCGAAAGCACATGCTCCGCCAGGTTTATTGGTCTGGATGATTTTTGCCAGGAACTCAATTTGGGAGAACTCGGACACTACCCAGCCAGGGTTGTCTTGGAAGTCTAAGTAGCTCGACCCATCATCATCCAATTTCTTGGAAGCATTGCACCGCCAACAAAACTGAGAATTCTTCCAGGTCCGAGTCATTTGTATCGAATATGCATGCCATTCCCAGTCCCCTTTGAGCTCTGTCACCACGAACTGGAGAACCTGTCCGTTGACTTGGATTCCCTCTTTGTACAGCTTAAGCATCGATTCCACTATTTTCCGATAGATAGGAAACAGCGTAAGCCCACCAAGCATTTGATTGGTCTCCAGTGAACACAAGAGCCATTTGGACAGTCTCGCCGATCTTGGGTTCCACAACGGCAGGGAGAGGAATATGCATGTGATCTTCTCACCTGCCGCACTGAACTTTGCACTGTCCCCATATAGGGCACACGGAATGTGCACCCCAGTTGAAGCTCGTCCCCACGGGCAACCAACAGAATGAGCATGTTTCCAGTATGCTGCAACTGATCCAGAAGGCATCTCAACACCCAGGGTTTGAAAGAGGTACCGAAGCAAGTCCTCAGGGAGTATCATAGGAACTTCAGTAGGAATTGGATCACTCTCACGGAGTTTGCCTTTGACGAAGGTGTTCACCAAAACCGTGTCCTCCAGGGGTTCAAGTGTACAGTTCAATTGGTCGGAGTTCATGAGATGACACGGCATGGTTCGTTTCTGACTTCGTGAGTTTTTGTTTAAAACATATTTTCGAGCAAATTCAAACCTGTCCACTGGAGGCTTAAACACAGAACGGAAATCTCTGGCTGGGTTGTGTCCGCTATAGCTGCCTAACTTGCTGATTGTTTCAGGTAGTCCAACTGGGGTGTCCTCAACAGAGATTTGCAGTGATTAAGCGACTTGCAAATGACAAAGAAACCAGCAGAGTTATAAGTGCAACCCAGGGGTCTTTTAGGCAGGCGTGCACTTCTTTCATTTGTTGTGATACAGAAGCCTTGGGTCTTTTTGGAATCCATCCACCTCAACAATATTTATAGATTAGTTCTGCAAAGTTTCATGTCATCTGGATCTAGATCTAGAATTTGAAATTGTCTTTGCGGCCGAGGGACACCACTAGCGAGGTTGTCTAGTATACTCCCGACTTGGTTGATCTCGTGCCGATTCATCACCTGTGTGGGAATAGCTGACCATACCAGGAGGACATGTATGCATGAGATGCTACGGTAACAGTCCAGTCAGGCATTGCAAGCATTAAGTCTTTTTGCAGCTGTCGGTCGTTGTTTGCTCATGAAGTCTACGTGTACCCCTTCAGTGCTGGAAGGCCGCGCATCAGCCACTGATTCAGTCCTAAAGCCAATGATTGGCTCGCCAGCACACCCCAACTCCGTTGAAAAGCAACGGAAGCCCTCCAGATTGCAAGACTATAGGGAAACAGTTTTAGAATGTCGACCTTATCCTTGCACTATTTGGTGGAAAGACTTAACGGCTATTGCATGCGTTTTGCTAAAGATGTCTTTCTGGAGCTTAAAAGAAATGCAGCTACTTGTCGCCCTTACCGGCTTTTCTTTTCTTGCCAGTGATGGGTTCCATCTGCTCATCAAAATTTTCCAGGCCCTTCTCAGCTTCGGTCAGCACATTTGTCAAGCGGCTGTCCTGCGCTTGTGTATATTGGAAAACAATCCTATCAGTTTGGTAGCCAGTACTTATAGTCTTATATATGTTGTATACCACCCACATTTGATAACTCGGATCCTTTCACAACACTGAAACCCAGAGCTCCTCCGCTCCCGCATCCAAGGCTGCTTGCATCTTCAACCGGATCTTCGACAGGCGCGACACCATCGCATCGATTTCGCTCACGACGGCTGTTTTGATGCCAGATGACCTGGGCGATGGCGCTGGGAAGTTGCTCATGAATTATACCCCTGTTAAAAGCCGACGCTCAGGGATTGACCACGTGTTGGTCGATGCTTTCTTTTCATTCGCACTGTGTATCTTCCGGTTCATATCTCCAACTGCCTGGGGAACTGCTGGGTTCTTTGGCTAAGACAATTCGATCTCACATGGGCAAATCCGGGTGAAAGCAATGGCATCACACAGAAACACTGCCGGCATACCGTTTCCCAATACTACACACATATATATATATATATGTATTCTACTGCGCATAATTTATTGAGTA